TGATGATACCCTGATCTTAAATCGATTTTAGAGAAATAACTTGCTCCTACCAATTGATCAAACAAATCATCAATCCTTGGTAAAGGATATTTGTTTTTAGTTGTCAATTTATTCAGTTCATGGTAATCTATGCACATTCTCATAGACCCATCCTTCTTTTTGACGAATAAAACCGGAGCACCCCAGGGCGAAGTACTAGGCCTTATAAATCCTTTATTAGTTAAATCTTTCAACTGTGTCGCCAATTCCTTCAGTTCAGATGGAGCTAAACGATACGGAGCCTTAGCTACAGGTGCAGCCCCTGGTACTAAATCAATTCGGAACTCAATAACTCTATCTGGTGGTAATCCAGATAAGTCCTCTGGAAAAACTTTCGGATATTCACTAACAATCAGAATCAATTCTTCCTTTCCTTTCTCTTTCTTTAAATCAATTACATATGCCAAGCATCCTTGGCACTTCTTTCGTATACTCTTCCGGGCTTTCATTACTGACAAAATACTAATGTGATGATTCTGACGATCACCATAAATAATAATTGTTCTCTGGTCTGGCAAAATAATTCTGATCATCTTCTGATTACAATCAATACTAGCCTGATACTTTGCCAACCAGTCCATACCCACTACTATGTCAAATTCCTTCATCGGCATGGGAAATAACCGGATCGAAAACTCACAACCCTCAATAACAATAATGCAGTTATTGAACACACTAGTAACAGTTTCCTGATTATTAGCAGTATCAACTACTAATTTATCATCAAGCAGCACAGAATTCAAACATGCAGTTTGAGCAAACAACGGTGATACAAACGAAAAGTTTGCACCAGAGTCAAATAACACCTTAGCACGTATTGAATTCAGGAGAAATGTATCTGTTACTACGTCTGGTGATGCTTCTGCCTCATTCTTTGTCATATGAAAAGATCGTCCCCGTGCCCCTCCTTGTCCTCCTCGATTCACAGTAGATCTTCCCCGTGTACCCGACGCATTACTTCTCATTGTTAACTGTGGAGTTCTTAATAAAGGACAATTCGGTCGAATATGATCCGGAGAATTGCAATTGAAACATCTTTTGTTTGTTGGGCAATTTCTAAACAGATGGCCTGCTTCACCACACTTATAACATTTTCTTGGATCCATCTTATCATTACTTTGATGAACCCTCGCACTGCTCTTTTGTTCAGATCGGTTATCATATCTCACAGTCTTGGGTCTTCGAAAAGACGAAGGTCCTTCCCATTTTCTTTTCTCCATAACTTTTCCTTCTGATTGCTGATTCTTATTTCGTTCAGTCACCTCAGCCGCGTCCACAGTAAGTGAAAAGGTATTAGGGTTCATAGCAATAACGAACTCTCTAATTGAGGGTTTCAATCCCCAAATATATCTTTCTATCTTTCTGCATTCATTTGAAACATAATGTTCAGCAAAACGAGAGTATTCAATAAATCTTTCGGTATACTCCCGTACTGTTCCATTTCCTTGTTCTAGTTTCAGGAAATCTTCTTCCATTTGTCTCACAGCCGTTTTAGGACAAAATTGATTTTTAAATCTATCCACAAATTCTACCCATGACAGAGTTTGTAAAACATCTGTTCTGGTAGACGATTCAACTTCCCACCAAAATAAAGCATTTGACTTCAATACCGAAACAGCAAATCGCACTTTATCTGTTTCCAGACACCGAATGGTGTTGAACACAGATTCCATTTCCTTAATCCAGCACATAGCTTTCACTGGATCTCTTTCCCCAGAAAAGGTTGGTGGTTTGCATGCTAAAAACATCTTAATATCTCCTTCTTTATTTTGCGTAACTGGAACAAATGGATGAACTTCCACTCTTTCTGTCTCCACCCTGGCCGGTATTCCCATGATAGATGTCAAAGTTTCTCGCAACTTCCCCATTTCCTCTGCTAACATATCTCTGGTTATATTTTCTGGATGTGATACCGCCCCTTCCTGAACATTTCCAGAGTGCGATTCTTCCTGTTTAGAATGTATTTCAGTCTGACCTCTTCCCTGAGACTGACTTCTTCCTCTACCTCGTCCCCTTGGTCTTCCCCGACCTCTATTTCCAGCCGTACTAATTGGAAGATTAACCAA